ACTCTGCGCCTCCTGTTGGGAAGCGGAGCCTTTGGAGAAGTGTATGAAGGGACAGCAGTAGACATCTTAGGAGCTGGAAGCGGAGAAACCAAAGTAGCAGTGAAGGTAACGTGGTTTTAACTCCTTGACATGTTATGTCAGCATATTTACATAGATTTGCATGGGTGCAACTATAATGAAAGATGAGTGATCTTAACTGAAAAGAGAACTAGAAGGTAGGAGACTAGTCACCGCTATAGAAATCACTTTTTTCCCCTTCCATTTTCTACATTAGCTCTGAAATTAATACTAATCTCTATGATTACTAATTAGTGAAGACCCAGCAGTTTCCCCCTTCAAATATACTGTAAGAGAAGTGAGGTTGTTAAGTACATTCTCAAGGTAGGTAATAGGGCAGATTGTAAGTATTGTAGACTTGTGGCCATATTGTGTCAGTTGCAACTATGCCACTCTATCATTCAGCATGGAAACCAATGTGTGTGATTATGGTCCAGTTAGACTTTATTTATGAAAACTGAAGTTTAAATTTCACATAAATTTTATGTGTAATGAAATTATATTCTTTTTTTTTACTTTCTTCAACCATTTAAAAATATAACATGTCAATTATACCTCAATGAAGCCAGAAAAAAATGTCACAACCATTATCAGATAGCAAGCTATACAAAAATAGGTGACAGGGTGGAATTGGTCCACAGGCTATATTTTGCTGACCTGTAATTGAGCAAGATCTTCATCACAGCTTGTTAGGAATCTATTGCTTTGAGGGTGGGCATATAATCAGAAAAGTTGGCCAAATTTTCTCAACTGGTTTAAATAAGTGTTTATTTTTCTTACATAACAGGTGACTACTGGCTTTAGTGCAGTGCCAGTAGACCTGAAATTCCCTTGACTTTGTACATGTGTGTTGCCTCATGGTCCCAAGATGGTTGCCAAGGAATCAGGCATCACATCTTCATTCAGGCCGGAACACTCATTGACCAGAACTGAGCCATATTTGCAAAAGAGGCTGGAGAGTTACAGGCCATGCTTTTCATGATGATCTCAGACCAGTTGCCTGGGACTGGGCACCTTGCCTCTAAGAAACAAATTAGGGTATTGTTAACAAGGAACCCTGGGAAACAGATGTTGAACAGAAAACTCTGAAAATTAAGAAATTAGCTTAAGCACCAAATTTTTTCTCTTTTTAAATTTTTTACATTTGGAGAGACTTCGTGTAAATATTACTAGGTCTTTTATCTATCAGATATTTCACTTAAATACTTCCAATAACAGGAGCTGTCTTTTGAATAGGTTTACATAGTACATGCACATGTACTACCCATTATTTATTTTGCAATTTCAGGGTGGATATTATAAAACAAAACAAAGATTATCTCCATTAATACACTGAGCTCACAGAAATGTCTGCTATACTGATTCTTGACTTGTTTTTATGTTGCACAGACTTTGAAGAAGGGCTCCACAGACCAAGAAAAGATTGAATTCCTGAAGGAGGCATATCTGATGAGGTATCAGGGCAGCTCTAAAATAATTTTTGCTTGGTATGGGTAGGAAGCTTTTACATCTGATTTAACATTCAAAATCACCTGACATAATAAATCATGCCCTAAATGAACGTGGCTGAAGTCTAAATGGAATTATGCCTGTAATGACAAGTATTTTTTAGAATCCAGTCTTCCAAGTCTGGGCACAGGCAGTCCCCCACCAAAAGGTTTTCCTTTTACCTTCAATAAAAAGTGTGTTTTACAAGTGACATCTGAAGCTGATCAGCTTTAAACATGCTTATGGTCTTCTAAATACATGGGAATGGTTGGAGTAGACTGAGTAAGAGAGAGTTCTCTTAAGTACAGTGATGCCAATGAAAATATCCCTTGTCTTGGTAAACTTGACTTCAGTGTTAGAGTTAGTTGTTGAGCATAAAACTGATGAAAGACATCTTAATGGGAAGACCTGGGGCAGTGGTTCCAGTTATTCGATTGGAATTTATTTGCTTTGACATCTTGAGGAAACAGTTATAGCCAAATTTGCCTGTCTGAATTGTCCCTCTAAAAAAGGAAGAATAATATTTCATACTTGTGATGACAAAAAATATAATGTTTTCAAATACCTTTTGAAGAAGGAAATTAGTTCAAATTACTTTCTTTTCCAAAACACAAAATACTTAATAGAAACATGGTTTCTTCTAAAACACACGCTGTTCTATCCATATGCACTGGCCACTAGGGGTTGCCATATTACCTCTGAAAAGCAAGAACACAGTCCATCACTTGGAAAAAAGAGGCCTCCATTTGTCAGAGAAAAATAAAATCAGGGGTTTTGATGGAAACTATAGATAATCAATTGCTCTATTCCGTGAAGGCCCTCAGCTAGGACCTCTGTCGCTGTCATGTCACCGGCCTGTCTCTTTCCACTTTTAGTAAGTTTAATCATCCCAACATTCTGAAGCAGCTTGGAGTTTGTTTGCTGAATGAACCCCAATATATTATCCTGGAATTGATGGAAGGAGGCGATCTCCTCACCTACTTGCGTAAAGCCCGGATGACAACGGTAGGAAATGGGGTCCCCAGTATTGATTTTATAAAGCAAATGCCCTATTCCAAGATTGTATTACAATGGAAAAAAGTAAAAACAAACAAACAAAACCAAGCCATCAAAATAATAAAAACACATATTCAAAAATAATTTAATTATCAAATCTCTGCTGGGCATTTATTATACAACTGTGAAGTGTGTGGCTCTTGCTTTTATTTTATTTCATTATTTTTATTTTTTGTTAATCCTCACCCAAGGATATTTCCCATTGATTTTTAGAGAGAGTGGAAGGAAGAGGGAGACACACACACACAGAGAAACATCAATGTGAGAGAGACACATTGATTGGTTGCCTCCTGCACATGCCCCGACCAGGGCTGGGGATTGAGCCTGCAACAGAGGTATGTGTCCTTGACCAGAATTGAACCCGGAACCCTTCAGTCCAAGGGCCCAACGCTCTATCCACTGAGCCAAACTGGCTAGGGCACTCTTGCTTTTAAGGAACTTGTCATGTGGGAGGGAGGTAAGTCACATATAAATAACCCATGTAAGGTGGAAAATGGGAGGACCCATTAGAGTGGAGTAGAGAGTCTACTGCTGAAGCACAGAGTAGAGAGAGATGATTTCCAGCTGAAGAGTCCTGGAAAGAGTTTGTGGAGGAGAACCAATCAAGGTGAGAGCCAGAAAACTCTCTGAAAATGCATGAGTTGTGAAAGGCCTTGACCAGGGGTAGACCTGGGTGGAGGTTCAGTATGTCCAGAGGGGTTAGCAAGAGATGATAGATGGTAGGCCACGGTAGCATCTGGAGTCAAGGAAGCCCAACAAGGACTGGTGAGGCGTCCCCACAGGTTGTCACAGAGGTGGTCAGAAGCAAGTGATATTTAGGAATCCCGGTAGGCAGGCAGCATTCTGAAAATCTGCCAGCAGAGAACAGGGTGCTAGCCACCAGACTGAAGTTTAGGAGCAAGATTCTCTGTGACGACAGTCTTCACAAGTAGGGTAGGTTTTGCCAAGAGCAAAGCAGAGCTCCATTCACAGAGGAACAAATGAACCAGTTGGGACGCTCAGACGCAGGCCGTGAGGTTGGTATCTGGTGGACCTGAGCAGGACTGCAGGGGACTGATTCTAGGGAGTCAGTTCTAGCCTAGTTATCACACCGAGGTGTGGCTGAACGGGACCGTGCTGAGTCCCAGAGTATCAGGATTCTCTCTATTTTGGGGACAAGACATGAGCTTGCTGGGCATGTAAAAACACTTAGGAGCCCCTATGTATGAGGGATTGGGGGGTTTCAAGGCTGGGAACCATTATAGATGCTCAGTGGAAGATGCGGATGGAAATCAGGACTAAGGAGGGCATTCCATGAAACAGTCCTAGCAGGAATATCGAAGAGAGGTTGAGAAATGCAGAGCAGGTATGAAAACACGTCCAGTGTCCCAGTGTGACCCCCGCACAGACTGTGAGAGGAGAAACTATGGGAAATAAATGGACATAAAGAGAGACCGATGCAGCCTGGGGCTGCCATGGAGGTTGCACTCAGGAATCTGTAATAAATCCTACAGGCACAACGGAATGAGCTAATTAAAGCACAAGGAGGCTGGAGAGGTGGGATGTTTGGGAAGAGTCAGACAGGGATGATAAAGGCCTGAACCAGGGTAATTGCGGGGAAATGGCAAGGGACAGAGTTTTTTCATCTGGTACTAATAAAAACTTCAGTTGGCTTTCTCTCCCCCCTCCCCCCCATGTAGAAATCATTGTAGCCATACAGGCTCAATTTATTTGGGCTGGCTCTCTTAGATGTGACCCTGAAAAAGAGTCTGTTTTGCTCATATGAGGAACAAGCCCATTGTCATGACTGACACAATAGTGTGACCTTGGGTAAATAATTAAACTGGTGAGCACTGATTAAACTATCATTATTTCTGTGTAGGAGAGCAGCTGCTGTTTATTAAGTGCTTTTTATATACCAGCCAGATTACATATCTTATGTGAAAACCTACGAAGGCAGGCTTATTATTTCCACTTTACCCATGAGAAAGCTGCTGAGTGAACAAAGCAAAGTGAGCTAGAACAAAGCAAACTAGAGGCCCGGTGCATAAATTTGTGCATGGGTGGGGGTCCCTTGGCCTGGTCAAGGTCACACAATGAGTAAGTGGCAGAATCAAGTTTCAAATCTTGGTCTGTCAGAACTAACGCCCTGTTTCCAACAAAGGTTCCATATTGCCTCCGCTTACTAAATGGAGTCTTTTTTATGTATATCTGAGTAGAAAGCATATAAATATAGTTCTTTTCCTCTTTGCTTGAATTCTTGCAACCATACTAAAACTTTCTTTAAAATATCATGTATATGTGTGCACATGCATATTTATGAAGCCATTTATACATATCTATGTATATGTGTAGTTTGTGCAAATTGGAAAAGTGCCTAATCTTTTTCATTTCTTACAGTTTCATGGTCCTTTACTCACCTTGGTTGACCTTGTAGACCTGTGTGTAGATATTTCAAAAGGCTGTGTCTACTTGGAGCAGCTGCACTTTATTCACAGGTACAGTGATCCTGGATACAGGTTCCTATGGATATTGGCACATTAGCCATCTGTAGTTTGGGTAAAATATAGAAAATAAACATTTTCAGTCCTTTAAAATAGCAATAATTCTAAAAAAAAAGTCTCTCTTCTCTACAGACCTGCTAGTATTACTTGTCTGATCTCTGGAACTGTATTATTATTATTATTATTATTATTATTATTATTAATTAAATATTGTTTTTGCCATAGGGACCTGGCGGCTCGGAATTGCCTTGTCTCGGTGAAAGACTACAGTAATCCATCACGGGTAGTGAAGATTGGGGACTTTGGACTCGCGAGGGACATCTACAAAAATGATTACTATAGAAAGAGGGGAGAAGGCCTGCTCCCTGTTCGATGGATGGCTCCGGAAAGTTTGATGGATGGAATCTTCACAACGCAGTCTGATGTATGGTGAGCTTAATAGGACACAAAGAAATGTGGGCAGAACTATCCAATGTCAGAGCTGAAAATGTTCTTAAAAGGTCCTCTAATCTTTTTATTATTATTATTACTAGAGGCCCAATGCATGAATTCGTGCATGGGTGGGGTCTGGCCAGCCCAGCCCCAAATTGTAGCGGATTGGGGCTGGGCCTGTTGGGAGGATGAGACGGCGGGAGGTTGGCCAACTGGCCCACCCCAATCGGGGCCCAATCAGGGCCAGGCTGGCTGGGGGGAGGGGCCGAGGGCGATTGGCCAGTGGGCCCTGCCCCTGATTGGGATGGGGGGAGCCGATTGGAGGTGAGGCCATCCATAGGGAGGGGCTGCTGGCCAGCCCCACCCCTGATTGGTGTGGTGTGGCTCCTCCGGGGCAGAGCTGGCTGGGGGAAGGGGCTTCGGGTCGATCAGGGTGGTGGGGACCCATCAGGGGTGGGGCTGGCCAAGGGGAAGGGCCACAGGAGGGTTGGCTGGCCACTTCGCCGTCGATTAGGGTGGGAGATGCCGATCCATTGGGTCGGTTGGCTGGCTGTAGTGGGCGTCATAGCGACAAGTTGTTCTGGTCCTTATGGTGTTCCAGTCGCTGGCTTTTTATATATATAGATTATTGTTGTTGTCAGTATTACAGATGTCCTCCATTTTCTCCCCCTTTGCCACCCTCGACCCTGCCCCACCCCAGGCCTTCACCACTCTATTGCCTGTGTCCATGGGCTATGCAAGTTCTTTGGTTAATCTCTTCTGCTCCCCTCTGAAATCTGCCAGTCTATTCCAGTTTGTTCCATGTCTCTGGACCTATTTTGTTTGTCAGATTATTTTGTTCATTAGATTCCACATATAAGTGAGATCATGTGATATTTGCCTTTCTCTGACTGGCTTATTTCACTTAGCATAATACTCTCCAGGTTCATCTATACTGTCGCAAGGGTAAGAGATCCTTCTTTTTTACTGCTGCATCGTACTCCATTGTGTATTGTTTTTAATGTGAGAAAACAGAAGACCAGAGAGGTTGCAGTTTGCCGTAAGCTAAAGTGAAAGCTGGTGTCTAAAGGGGACTATTCCTGGGTCTCAGCAGCTTACATACCTCCCTCCAATTGGTTTTGATCCTTTATCTTACTAGTGTACATGAAATAGCTACATTTATTTCAGGTATTTTATTACTCCCCAAAATGTAGAGGCTTTGACTGACAGGAATTGGGACCTATGAATTAATATCTAAGTATGTGTCTAAATGCCTACTATTTGGGGATGTTTGGTCATTCATTTATAAGTAGACTTTAAATTACAGATCTCAAAATCATTAGGACATTGGGGAGATTTATAAATCTTTATTATTTGAATAGAATCCCTCATTTTTGCTTGTTGACCCCAAACTTTCGATGAGAGCTGCTCAAAATGTAAGGATTTGTTTAATAACTTTTAAGCTGAACTGGCCCTAGGTACAGTTGGGGATGAGATAAAATCTAGCTTCAGTGCTGCCAGTTTTTATTCATACCTTCCCTCTCCATGTTTACTTGCACTCAAACTTAGAAAAACAAACAAACTGAACTGCTTTCTTGCTCATCCAGAAGTATGTCTGCATAATGGAGGTCTGCAGTTCTCCAGTGGTTCAGCCAGAAAGGAGGAGCAAAGTGTGTGTGTGTGTGTGTCCCCACTGAGCATTCCTATCACCTCTGAAGTGCTGCTGGTAGGCAGTTGCTTGTTCTATTTTCTTTTTAAATATATTTTTATTGATTTCAGAGAGGAAGGGAGAATGAGAGAGAGACAGAAACATCAATGATGAGAATCATTGATTGGCTGCCTCCTGCATGCCCCACACTGGGGATCAAGCCGGCAACCTGGGCATGTGCCCTGACTGGGAATCGAACCGTGACCTCCTCATTCATGGGTCGATGTTTAACCACTGAACCATGTTGGCTGGGCTCTTGTTCTACTTATTCTTGTGATCAACTTGCTTTTAAGCCTTCCCATTTGCTTTTTATGGACCCAATCATTCAAATCACAAGATATAGCCCGTTGCCCCAGAAGTATTATGTTGGAGAAACTACTGTAAACATGTTTGTAATAAGTAGAATTAAAGCAAACTCTCTAATATCCTTAGGTCTTTTGGAATTCTGATTTGGGAGATTTTAACTCTTGGTCATCAGCCTTATCCAGCCCATTCTAACCTTGATGTTTTAAACTATGTGCAATCAGGAGGGAGACTGGAGCCACCAAGAAACTGTCCTGATGATCTGTAAGTTATAATTATGTTAACATAAATACCTAAAAACAAAAACACAAGCACATGCACTCTAATGCCTCATTGGTATGGTATTTTAAAATGAAAACTGGTCTTCATATATTTGTATATCCTACATAAGATAGAAATTGATTTATATTAAATTTATTAAATACATGAGTTTTTAAAATTTATATATATACATTGTATTTCACTTCAGAAACAAAATTTGGAAGAGCAGAATATATTTATAGTCCTGGTTAAACGAATTATAAGAAATAAAAGCTCTCTCTGTGTGTGTGTATAATGTGGGGTGTGTATGTGTGTGTGTACCATTAGATTTTGGAAGCTATGATTTGGCTAATATCTTCATCTGCAAATTAAAATATTCTATTAAGTAGGAATGTATTGTGTAAAAGTTGGATTGCATTTGTTAACATAGCTGATCTTGGGCTAGAGTACTGCTAAAAATTATAGAGGTTGTTATCTGTTTATGATCTAAACATGTAATGACTAAGTATTAGTGACTCTATCAAATTGATCCTAGCCACTATTAAATTTTAATAAACTTGTGATCCTCAAAGAGTAGGTGATTTTGATCTAATTATAAAGGAAAAACAAGACAAGTTATTTCTAATCCACCTTCTTGTGAACAACCTCAGCAGAAATATCGTCTTGAGACTTTTCCCAAGAGGTGTTTTACCCAAGAAGTTTCTGAAAGAACATACAAGCAACAAGTATAAATTTCTCTGCTATGTGCACGACACCATGCTAAGGACCGTATGATATACAGAGGTGTTTAAAACAGGGGCATGAGTTTTCAACATCTCAGATTGTATTTTGAAAGAAAAGACGCACACGTGGAGCAGCTGGATAACAAGCCAACATGTAATAAAGTGCTAAACTCTGTGGTACAGACAAGTGCAAGAGGAATTAGCAGTATGCGGATACACACCACGATTGTACTGCCTTGACTATGTTGTTATTTAGAGGATTATTCATACCGGAGCCAAAAGATGATTAAGTACTGGGCACCTTGGTTGGATGTTTTACTGGTGAATGTGTTTGTATTATTTAAATCTTCCAGCTAGAAGAAGATTTGAATCACTGATTGTTTCTGGCATAGCTTTTACAGCCTCTGGGATATTGACAGGGAGATTAGGTATACACAGACCTGAACAAGTTTGGTGACAGTGACTAAAAATATGCTTCAGGTATTTGGGGGAGATGGGGAGAAATTCTGTAAGTTAGGAGTAAGAAATGATACACAATTTGAAAACCTTTGATCTAGAGTTTGAGAAAAAAAATACCCCAGCATACCTAAGCATGAAACACATTTTTATTAAATAATTAGCAACCTAATCATATTTTTGCATCATATATATATATATATATATATACACATATAGCACTCAGAAAATGTCCCCAGAATTTCAGTCACATGAAATTTTCATTGTGCTATTAGAATTTTATCGGACATAGGCACTTTAGGAGTCATTGGTATGGTATCAGTCACTGTTGTACATTTTGATTGATGTGTTCACTTATATAGTTTGGGGAGGACAGAGGTGGATAACAAATTATTTATTGTGAAACAAAAAAATGTAGGTTGGTTGAACTTTATTCTAATCCAAAATTATCAAAAAATGCAACTGGAAGGCAGGAGAATGCATGCTAGGAAAGTGCTAGGAAAAGATAATATTCTACATAATTTTATCTTGATTATTCAGTTGGATACATTATTGCTCTACTTTTGTAAAAATACAGTTTCCGTGAAACCAAATTTTCCATTGGTGGTTTTGAAGTTCATTTGAACATCAGTAATTAAAAAGTAAACAATGCTCTCAGCCCTCCCTCAGAGCCCCGGAAGGGTTAACTCATTGCCCAGCAGGAAAACAAGATGTGCTAGGAAATGGAGCTCAGAGCAATGCCATTCAATCTGGCTCTGGCCTTAAGTTGTCATGATAAAGATTAACTACTCTCCTTAGAGTACAGAGGGAACTGATTTTTATTTGAAGCCGTTCTCTGAGATCACAGGCCAAGCTTAGAGGGTTGAAAGTCTGCACTGAGCCATCCTGCACCTTCTATTTACTGCTTAAATTCCCAGCACCTGGATGCACTCTGGGTCAGGTGAACCCGCAGAGAGCTATGCTGTACTCAACTATTAATGGAATGCAGAAGTTCAGAGCATTCTCCTCTTCTCCCCATCGTCCGGGATGTGTGGTGGAAAGCCCAGTCCTAGGTATTCCCTTCAGCTTTCAGTTCACACAACAACCATCCCATTCTCAAGAGAAAACGGGTTCAAAGGGCAATCTCCTTCAAGAGAGAGCTCTTTGGGGTTCTCCGACAGACTTATCATGGTGGCAACTGGAATTCCCGGAGAGTCTCTCAAATGGAGGCAGCAACAATGGGAGAACGTGAGGTGCACCATCTTATTTTTACCCCTGAAAAATAGGTGCACCCAGGGGTGAGCAAACTTTTTGACTCGAGGGCCACAATGGGTTCTTAAACTGGACCGGAGGGCCGGAACAAAAGCATGGATGGAGTGTTTGTGTGAACTAATATAAATTCAAAGTAAACATCATTACATAAAAGGGTACGGTCTTTTTTTTTTTTTTTAGTTTTATTCATTTCAAACAGGCCGGATCTGGCCCGCGGGCCGTAGTTTGCCCACGGCTGAGTCCTAGAGGCTAATTGAGTCTCTCTAGGATTGTCATAATGAGTAAGGGAGTTCTTAAAATCATATTTCATGTGCTTGGTTTAAATACCTATAGAAACTCATTTCCTTAAAACTGAAAGATGCCATGGAGTTTTTATCTGTCGAATTTGAATTGCTTTCTGAATCCAAGGCATTTATTCATAGACACTAAAAATGAGCGGTTAATGAGTCTCATGGTATTTTGAAAAAGAATTGAGGCAAAGAGGAGTAAAGGGTTGGCATTGTGAATGAAGGAATTTGAACCTGAACCCTTAGCTGAATGAGATATTTCAAATGTGATGAGTGTGTATCTGTGTAGAGCTGGAATATCCAGCCCAGGTAAATTTTAACAACAGTAAAGTACCTATATGTATATTTAGAATAATATGCTTGAGTATTTTTAAGTATAAGTTAATACAGGTCTCTAATGCATGATATTGAATTATGACAAGTGCCTATTTATAAGGAAATACCGCTATGCCAAAGGAATAGTTGTTGCTATTAATTTACCTGAAAGATGTAAAAACATGTATTTTCAGGATTAAATTCTTGAAAGCTTCTTCATTTTATTCCATTCTGAGCTTAATGCTATTTAAGGACTCAAGTTGAACCCTTTTCATTTAAATGACTTGTTTTATAGAGTTTTTCTTTGCTTAATCTAGGGCAATTTAGTATTCATTTTTTTCCCCTGGATGTGGGAGAGAACGGTTTATATACTATCTAAAATATGCCAAATGTTTTTACCATCATAAAATTAAGAATAATGATTAGATTCCATGTAAATTAAGTCTCTGTAGATGAAAAAATAGTAATATCTGCTTAAATAAATTCTATAGATTAAACAAGAGGCCGAACTTTTGGAGGGTGGTATGAAGCAGTGAGGTGCAGTGTGGCCAAGTGGCAACTGTAGAAATGGCATCTCTCTCCTTTTCCTCCTCCCCCTCCCCTTCCTTCTTCCTTCTTGCTTTCCCGCCCTCTTTCTGTCCTAAATAATCTCCTTTAAGTATCTTAAAATCCTTTGTAGAATGAGGCAAGTCATAAGTAAATAAAATAAGTAAAAACTTCATAATTGAAGTAGACAGGTCTTGAGAGAGTCTATCTATTCTTTGCCAATATCTTTGATTCATAACTTTATTTTTCTCAGGATATGCTTCCTGTGGAGAATTATACTTTACTTTCCCCCTTCACTTCCTAAAATAACTCTTAGACTAGTCATCAAGATTCTACTTTAACTATTACTTAAAATATTTAACAACAAAATTTTATTTCAAATCTAACCATTGGGATCTTTTTATCATCCCTGTTTCTAAATGCCACAGATTATAAAGAAATTTGTAAAAGATTAGGTTCTCAGCCATGATTCTAATTTTTAAAAACATAGAGCCAAATTTGGCAAATTCTATATCCAGAATGTAAATTCCTTGTCATAAGTGTGAAATGACATCAGATCAATACTAGAAAATAGATCAATATCAGGTCTCTCCATAGTACTTCATATTGAGTACTAACTCTAACCTGAGGTGCTTGTCAAAAAATGAAAGAGATGGAAATAGAATTTGCATACCACATTATAATGGAGACTATGATTCCTAAAATAGATACCAGCTACTTTAAATACAATACCCATAATGATTTCCGGATCATTGTTAACTATGATTGAATATATACTTACAGTAGCTCCATTGCCTTTACCTTAGTCCAAACCTCCATTATCTCTCACTAGTCTTCTGTAATAAATTTCTGACTTCCAAATTGCCCTTCTACAACCCATTTTTCACATGTAGCCAGTTAGAGTAATCTTTTAAAAATATAAAAATCATGCCTGTTTAAAAACTTTCAACCGCTTACCATTGTAGTGTCATCAATCCAGCTCCTGGCCTGGTCTCCGAGACCTGCGTGATCTCGCCTTCCTCCTCTGACCTCATCTCGTGTGCTCTCCTCCTCAATGACGGCTCTTCAGCCACACTGGCTTCCTTTCAGGTTCTACAATGTGCCAAGCTCTTTCCAAATTTAGAAGTTTACACATGCTTTTTCCTCTTCTAGTGTGTTCACTGACTCCCATCCCCACCCTATTCCCATGACTAGCATCTTATTTTCCCACAAAGTTCTTTGGCTTAAATGTCACCTCTGCAGAGGGACCTTCTGTGAGCAACTCACCAAAAGTGTTCCATCTTTATGAGATTTCACATGGTTTTCTTTAGCACTTTTTTTTTTTAGAACTTGCAATTTATAATTTTATAATTACCTGTTGATATAGTAGTCCTAATATTTTAAATACTTCCTAATTTATGTTTCTTTATAAGTTTCTCTCTCTTTGCCCCAAATCTGCCTTACAGCTCCAAAGAGAGAGAGAGAGAGAGAGAGAGCGAGAGAGAGAGAAGGTACTTGACCTTTTTAGTAAGTCAGTAGACTCGAAAACCAAGCCTGGAGGAGAGAGGGTTATCTAAAATCCATTAGCTCCTTGTTAATATACTAAATGCCAGTTTTGGTAACTAGGACCTATAATTCTATATAAGGATGATCTTATTAAAAAAGAAAAAAGGAGGACGTTGATCTAATAAAAAAGGGGAAGTGAGTAGAAATACCACTCCTGCTAAGCCCTGGAGAAGTGTAGGAAGAAGAGAGCCTGACAGGCAGAGGGAGGAGGGTGAGGAAGTTGGATATCTAGGTCGTGCATCCTCCTCTGTAGGGTTCAGTCAGATTAGGTGTGGACAACATCAAGGGCATAGAGCAACTGCCCACTCCTCCCAGTGTGGGAGGATGGCACCGAGATCATTGAGCAGGGGGACCCCCCCCCCCCCCATGACACGGAGACCCAGCATCCTGAAGGAGGTAGAATGGCATGTCCACACAGAGGATGTCTAGTGTGAACTTTTAAGCCTCCTTTGTTTCCCACCTGGTGTGAACATTTTGTTGAAAGCTAGAGATTAGGCCAAGGAGTGCCCTGTGGGTGTGCAGCAGAGACAGGAATGCATTTCCTGGGCCTCATCAGCAGATATAGGACACAATGTAGTCTCAGGACAGAAAGGTTATGGTTAGAAAGAGAAAAGGGAAAACCAGTTCACTGGGGAAGGGTCCAAAGACAAAGTAAAGAGATCATAGACAGCACACATAGCAGCTGGTGCCTGCAGGACGGCCAGCCCAGTCACTCGATGTAATTCCTGATCATCCTACTCTGAGACTTGTGGAGATCCAAGGGGCAGTGGGGTCCAAAGGATGCTTCACTGTGACCCTGTAACTCACACAAGACTTTCCCCCAGCATATATCCTCACACCATCCTGGAGAAGAGGGAAGGAGTATAAGTTGCCTAAAAATAAGAGAGATTGAGCTATTATCCAGAAAAGACTGCGCCTCACCTACCAAGATTATTTAAAATATTGAATTGGACTAGATTTTTAAACTATATTCATAAATGACGCTAATTTTCTTCTGCCAGGTGGGGGCTCTGAGAAAGACCTAATTAATTACAAACAGTACAAAAGAGCTACATTGTTTCCTGCTCATATGAATTGTTATCACCTTCTGACATTTACTATATGTATCTCTATGAGGACAGGCGCCACAATGCTGGTGTAATAGGTGTTCAATGAATGAATGAATGAATATTGGTTAAGCATGCTCTATAGACATTTCTCAGACAACTGTTAAGGAAAAGGTAATATTTAATCAACCAGCTATTTGTGTCTGGGGAAACCGAATCTGTTAATTAACCTGACAGTGTAATGAAGAGTAAAGCCATTAGAATCTAACCTGGTTTGTACCTCTGGTTATCCCACTAAATAACTGTGTGGCTTAGAGTAATCTTAGATTTTTGTTTTAGATATTAAGGTATGAATGTAAAGTCTTTTTATTATTCAATAATTTTTATAGCTCTAGGTTTCCTTATGTGTTAAGTGAGCATTTTCCATCTATCATCTATCTATCTATCTATCTATCTATCTATCTATCTATCTATCTATTTGGATTACTAACTGTTAAAATAATGTCATCTTTAAAAAAAAGGTGGTAGCTAATAAAGATAGTAACATTGCAGACTACTATTAAAAAGAAACCAAAAACTTTGTTCTGGTTAATTTATATTAATTATGGAAAACTGGCAGTAACTCAAATTCTCTTTCTTCTAAAATTCCCTACCTGGGTTATGTTATCAGTAAGGATTGCCTAATGACTTCCAATCACCATTCACTTTCATGTCTTTACCTACATATCCAGGTGGAATTTAATGACCCAGTGCTGGGCTCAGGAACCTGACCAGAGACCTACTTTCCATAAAATTCAAGACCAGCTTCAGTTATTCAGAAAAATTTCCTTAAACAGTATTTCTCAATGCAGAGAAGAAGCAGACCCTGGTGGAGTCATAAACGAGGGCTTTGATGGTAAGTTTGATTCTTTGTTAAAATGTTCTGCTTTTTCTCCCTTGTAGACTGAACAAGGTTAAAATGGTCATGCTGCCGGGGTGGGGCTGGACTCTGGCTCTATCCTAGAGCCTGTGCTCCCAGACTTCGCAGAGACAGGGCTGGGGTCAGGGAACTGCCCACACGCTCTCCCCACTTTGTTATCCACTTGTGACCTACTCGACAAGATACACCGATGTTACGTCAAAGTGATTTAGGTGCCAACTTTTGGCAGACTGCATTGAAATTCTAAATAGTGTTAAAAAACACAGAGAAGCAGACATAAATATGCAGACTAATGGTGCAGGAAGAGTTTAACCGGGAATATAACCAAACTTGGATAATTTAGACAGAAACAAGCAATTCTGTGCCACAGAATTGTTATTTACAATGCATGCAATTCCTGAAGATAAGGAATAGTAAGGAAAGTGGAAATCACTAAACATTTTGATAATTGAGATGTGACTGAACAAAGTGGCCAAGAAGAGAGAAGAAATGGAATAAAAAGGCAGGGTTTGCTTATTTGTAAAGTCATGGAACTTTCCTTTCAAGGTGAACCTAAACTTAATTACCTTTAACCAAAAGAGAATGTGTTTCCTAATAGTTTGCTGCTTTGCATATTTAGCAAAGAAGAGTGATGTCTGTCTTCATTGTAATTGTCAGATACATATAAGAAGATAAGAAAGCCATGGGAGGACTTTTTTGTGAAAAAATAAAGGGTTTTAGGATTATAGGAAGCAATAATACCATGCCTATCCCATGGTCCTACTGACCTAATGGGGTGGGGAGGGAATAGAGAGAGAAGTAACATATCTGGGCATCTAGTAAAAATATCCCAGTGACTTCATCCAAACATTTGTGTAAACATCACCTCATCAGTCCCAGAAGTAATAAAGGAAACAAATCTAAATGCTCCTGTGCTGTGCTAAACATAGCCAGTCAGCCGGCATATGTCTGGTCTGTGAATACCCTCTTTTACTTGGAAGTCTTTATTTTAATATTTCCCTCTTAAAGGAAAGGTCGCTGAGTACATGCTGTCTCTGTGTTTTAAGGTTTGACCTGCAGGCTTTCTATTCAATAGTTTTTAAACAAAAATAAATAAAAATCTACCCACCCTCCCTCCCCCTGCACGTCTCCTTATGCAATAAGATGTACTGATTGCTGAGAGCTTGCCAGGGTCAAGTTACTAAATATTGCTGCTCTAAGTATCACGAACCAACGACATAGTTAGCTAATGGTTTTTCTTTGACAGATGGTGCCAGAATTTGTATAAAGCATTTATTTGCCTTATATAAAAGTTTTTTTTACAAATAACTCAACAACAGGCAAAAAATTAAAATCACATTTTATTAGAAAGTTTCCCGATATGCTATTTAATGGGATAAAAGTATGGCAGTGAGTGGCTGGACTTATATTGTAGATTTAAGTTTTTTGTTGAAATTCCAAACTTTTCTTTAGCCTAATTTCTTTAAGCCATTTAGGAACAGCCTAATTTGTCTATGGGTATTATTATATATAGCAAATTAATTTTATAAGTTTCTCAATGGCAATTAGTGCATATTGGTAATAATCATAACATTTAGATCCTTCCATAGATATTCAGCACTTAAGCCCTAACCAAACCTGGCATCTGATAGTTATTTCTGCGGGGAAGATATTTTACAACACTGTTCAGCTATTCATGTGGTTTGAAATAAGCTGTGATGATGTTTGAATGGTAAAGAAGACATGAGATGATGCCAAAGAGCTTGTGAACCTGCAGCTTGGCCATCCTGTTCATCATCAGTGGGAAGGGTCTGGAAAAAAAAAAGAGCACATAATAATAGAGAATAGGAACAGTAGTCCTATGCTCTACAATAAAATAAGCTTTGTGTCAGGTGTAGAACTTGATAAATAGGTAGATCCGTTAAAGTCCAATGGGAAAAAATAGATACAATATGCTTCCCTTAGTCCTTTGACATTTTCTTACATTTCAGTTTAAATTCATTGCAAATAAACCCAACCTGGATGTACACCAGGACTAAGTGCAGAGGTTGCAGCCAGCAGGTCTCACCGTGCATCTGAATGCTGTCACACGGGAAGGATGGGGAGGAGAAAGGGAAGGACCATCATCCAGCTACTGAAATAGTCCCGATTTTTCAAATATACTATATGAAATAACAATACTATTTCTGATCGTAATTTTTTTAATCCAGGTACTAATGTACAATGATTGGAAAGTATTGATAAAAAAACAGTTCCCACAATATGCCTGTGTGTATTTATCTTGTATTATGTATTTATCTTTTTGATTACCCCAGGAACGTGGTCGGCAAACTGCGGCTCGCGAGCCACATGCGGCTCTTTGGCCCCTTGAGAGTGGCTCTTCCTAAGCCTTAGGAGTACCCTTATTAAGTTAATAACAATGTACCTACCTATATAGTTTAAGTTTAAAAAATTTGGCTCTCAAAAGAAATTTCGATCGCTGTACTGTTGATATTTGGCTCTGTTGACTAATGAGTTTGCCGACCACTGAGTCCTAGAATATTGTGAAATGTTTCCGAAGCTCTGCTATTAG